GCTGTGCCTGCGGTGCCCTCTGCCGCCTCCCCGGGGCGGGGGGATTTCGGAGGAGGCGTTTCCCCAGGCGGGGATATGACGAGGTAGCACCCGATAACAGCAGCGACACAGCGTGTGTTTTGCTGGGCAGCGCCCATCGATGGCATGTCGAATAGCAGCAATAACTCGGCGTCAATGGAGCTTTGACAAGGCCCCTCCCGGTAGAGGGGGTTGTTTGGCAAGGATGAATCGTGGCATCCTCACGCCACCGTCGTTTCTCAGTATTTTGATTGGCGTGGACTTGAGTAGTGTTGGTGTTTCCTAGCGATAATGCATGGAACACAAAGCTTGAGATCATTTTGAGGTACCTGTCGGCTGAAGATTTATTTCTGGCTTGTTTTGCTGATTAGGCAGGCCTGGGCAGCTCCTCCCCGGAAACTCGATTCTCTTGTTTGAAGAAATGAGTAACTGCTCATCTTTGAAGAAACTATTAATGCTGTATTCCCATGCACCATGACCTTTTTTTTCCCCCTTCCCGTTATTGTCAATGCCAGTTTTAATGGATGTTTCTTCTTCTTTTCTTCCCTTTGGAGGACAAGGAATTAGTCTAGATGCTGTAAGTGGGAAGAAATGGAAGAAAGGAAAATCAAGAGGAGGAGCCCCAAATCATCTACCAGTCACCCTGCTCAGGTTACTAACTCCAAGAAAAACTCGGTGCCAGTCAGTAAAAGTACAGCCTTTTCAAATCCTGCGCCACAGCCTGCAGTACAAAAACCAAAGTTAAAACGGTAAGCTTGGGAGCATCTTGCAAGCTCAGTGGAAGTGAGAGCCAGAAACCTGCCAATGCTCAGGCACTCTAAAGGGCATTTAGACTGGCTGGGACAGTGAAACAAAAGAGCTTCAGACTCCTGAAAATTTTTGATGATTTATCTGTTTTAGCAAAGCAATTTGTGTTTAATGCAATGTAATGGCTATTTTGCAGAAAAATATTCTCAGTGCTACTCTCGTAAGCTTTGTAAAATGTTGCACAGTGCTGTAGGCTCGCTGCTAACAATTTAGGTGAAGAGATGCTAGCCCAATGTGGCTGGTAAGATACGAGTTGGGTGATCAAATCTGGCAAATGTGGGCATTGTATGGGAAATAGCAGAGCCCCAGATGTACAGCTGTAAGGAACAAACAAAATATTACATGACTGCAAGGTTGGAACTCACAAGTAGGGCAGGAAATGAAGGATGTAAATTGAACAGGATGAGCTAGAACTGGAATTTCCATGTGTTTTGTTTGGGGACTCATCACTGGGGGCAGCGGTAGCTCCCGGGCCATACTCATGCAAAGAGAAAGGCATTCAGCTCTTCAGAAAGTACCATTTTGGAACAGTTTGTTCCAAACAGTGTTATTGAAGATGCATCTATTTCAGTTTCAGAATGTTAATTTTCCTGCATGTTAAAAAATGTAGTTCTTGGCCATGGCAGGTACAGTAGATAAATGAGTGCAGAAGGATTTTAAGTGAAATGTTAAGCGGAATTGAGAGAGGCAGCGGAGTTTATTGATCTGTAAGTATTAGCTGAAGATCAAATACTGAACTGTCCTCTTCGGCACAGATAGTCTGTTTAAAGGACCCAGTATTGGCCTGAGGGAAACACAATGCATTTCTGCAATATAAAGTCATAACACGTTTTCCCTGGAAAAAAAGAAGTAATATTTGAAGGGAAATAATAATACATACTAACTTTCTATAAAGTGGTGGTGCCTGCATATGACTGTACGGTTTATTAAGACTCAACACTCTTCTGGAGTATACTAGAAATTAATTTCTTGTAGCCCACAATGCTGGCTAGAGGAGAAAATGTCCCTGTTGCTTTAAGTTTTAGAAAAGGACATTCTTGCTCAATTATTAAGTGAAGCTTACTAAGCAGTGGTAATACAGACAATTTCTCAAACTCTCCAAGCAGGAGTGGCAATTGAAATAACAGTGCAAGGATGAACTGCTGATATGACAGTGGAGTAGGAGTATTTAATTAATTTTCACTTCATCTACAAGAATCTAATGAAGTAAGTTTCCCAGGAGGGATAATATTTTGTATTAAACTTCAGATACAGGTGGAAAAAATCAATTACCTTCCTGGCATGCAAACCTTTAAGTCTGAAATTGAAGCAGAAATAGCCGAAGTTAAACTTAAATTGAGACATGTTGCTCTGAGTTGAGCTGGATATGATAATTGTTGGACTGTTAGTTGTTCCAGCATATAGACTATGTAGTCTATACAGTGTTTATAGACTACAGAAACTGTTAGGCTGGAAAAAAAGAATGATTGTTTCCCACAGGAAGGAGAGAATTTATGACTTGCAGAGCATGGGAGTATTCAAGGGAAGGGTGGAGCTTACTATGCTGTAAACCCTATTATCTTCGCTAATTAAATGAACCCTCTTTATGAAGCCTGTGATTTTTTTTTTTTTTTTTAATATCCCATAGTATTCTGAATTTTTATTTTTAGGCTCAGAATTTTTCACTGAATCAGATTCTGAACAGACTCACCATGAGGCTGCAGAAGCAGTCATGCCAGTGTGGGAGGAAGGCTGTGTGCATGTGTGGATGGGCAAATCGGGGATGAAAACAGCCCCTTACCTTGTGTTAGGTTAGGATGCTGTCTGTCTGTCCATCTCTGGGGCAGAGATGGACTATGCTACTTCTTACTGGTCATTGAGTGTTTAGCTTCCATATTGACTGCACGTTCATTTGGATTTATAATAGTTACTCATTTTCAGTTGTGTAGTCTCCATGGGCACAAGGTGCTCTGAATAAATTCTGTGTCAAGAGAAAAATGTATGGATCCAGGAGTTTTGATGGGTTTATTGCAGAGGGGGCTGTAGAGAATTTTTAGCGCATTAACATTTATTCAGGCACGGACATTCTATTTGGTATGTGTCAGAGGACTGGGAGATTGCTTTTGATGGTGAGTTTTACAAAATTGGGATGTTACTTGGAGGTGGGAAGAAGGAGCTCTAGGAAAACTTACCTGGAGGCAAGGTCGCCTTCCTGTATAGGTTCTAATGAGTTGTTTTCCACACTGGTTGGAGTCTATAGGTGTTTGCAACAACAGGAGCATATGATTGCTGAGGGATTTTCTCTATGGCATGAGGGAGTTTGCAGATGCTCTTTGGATGATTTTATGTAGATAATGCCCCATGCGCCATTGTTGGGTAATGGTCCCCTTTAGATTATTAAGATGCCCATTACATACCTGTGCTCCATTGATGTTTCTCACTGTTAATAGGCAAGCAGGTTGTTGGAATCCTTTGTTTTGCATTATTAAACTGTCAAGACCGTAATGTTGTTATGTTGTTCTTTATTCTTACGACAAACTGGTGATCCATTTTTTAACTTTAAAAGAGTGATTGAAATATGTATTATATATTTTCCATTTAATTTTCAAAGCCCAGATGTACATTTCAGATTCTCAGTGAAAGTGAAAGCAGGAAATAACCCTTCTGTTTAATTTTTCTTTTTTTTCAGTGTGATAAAAGAGAAAGCCAAACCTCCAGGAGGTGAAGCAAAAGGGGCACAGGCAGCACCAATCCAGCATTCTTTTCTCACAGATGTATCAGACGTCCAGGAAATGGAAAGGGGACTCTTGAGTCTCCTGAATGACTTCCACTCCGGCAAACTTCAAGCATTTGGTGAGCACATGAATTGTCTGTATATAATAGTTGTTTTTATAGCTATACAATGGTAACATTTGGGAACATGGGTGCTGTATGGGCAGGCTGCCAGTTTGTTATATTGGACTCTGCCATATGAAATGAAGTTTAACATAATTAATAGAACTTACTGCATTTTTAAATTACAATTCTGTTGTAAGGTTGGTTTTGGTGTGAGATTATTCAAATGCCACTTCATTGTTCTTTCCAGCATGGCTTACCAAAGGCAGTACCCTGGCTTATGGATTTAAGATACCAAGTTTAAAGCCAATTATTTATGATAGTATAGGAATAGTAAGAAGTAACCATATTTAGCACCTGATCTTGCTGCATATTAACACTTCAGGCCTTCCTAAATCAGAGAAACTCAGGAGTATAGAAAAAACACGTATATTCTAAAAAACAGCAAGTACATCCAGTAGTTATTGTAAGTTCAGCACAACATAACACCAGACAGGGTAGTGAAATAGGGAGAAATCACTGAAAAAAGCACTTGTAAATTTGATGTTTGAATTCCTCTTGTCCAATGTAAAAAGCTGCATCTGTGCACTTTCATTTGCTCTCTCAGGTTTCTTTAGATAAAGCTGTTGCTCGTCCTTCTAGGAAATGAATGTTCCATAGAGCAGATGGAGCATGTGCGGAGTATGCAGGAGAAACTTGCTCGCCTCAATCTGGAGCTCTATGGGGAGCTGGAAGAACTCCCTGAAGATAAAAGAAAACTAGCCAGTGACTCCAACCTGGATAGGCTGCTATCAGATGTAAGTACAGGGAAGGCAGAACACACAAAACTTTGCCCACAGAACTTGGATCAGGAAAACAACACTACTGGGTGGGCAGTGATGTACAGTGGAGTAGAACTTAGTTCTGTAATGAACAGAGACAGAAGCCCTACCCTCACCTTGGCTTTGAGAAACACAGTGCCTCATTTTCTGTTTTTGTAGGCTGCTGCTTGCTTTGGTGAGTGGAGCAGTCTAACCGTAAGCTCTCTGAGGATGTAGGCCTGTTTAGAGACAACCAACGTACCAAGGAACTATGAGCACTTTCCCTGTGGTCCATCGCCTATATCTGGCGAAGACCACACATGATGAGGAATTTAGATCTGTATATTTGACACTTTCAGTTTCTCCCTTCTCTTGGTGTATTTCCATAAAATCCTAAACTCTTAAAATGTCTTCAGATTTCCCAAGATGAGCAGATTTAAACTTAATTTGGAACTTAGGTCTGTTGGTATAGAATTCAGTGCAGGTTCGCTCTGCTTTTTGTAATAAAATCACACATTTCAGCCCAAACTGTTAGTGATTTCCTTCATTGTTTTAGTGTGTCATCATATCAGCATAATTGTTGCATTTGACTAACTGATACTTTCTACATTTATATTGCAGTTAGAAGAACTGAATTCATCTATGTATCCTTTTCCTTAAATGGCTATTTTGCATTATAATTATTGTTAACTGTAATCAAACTAGTGTATTTCCCCAGTAACTGGTGTCTTTACAGGAGTCTGGTCACTTCAATAATGTCCTTTCTTCTGAATTAGTACTGTCATACAGCATGGGTTTTAGGTTCTTCCAGTACTTAAATGACCGCATCTTAACACTTTTAATTTCAGGCTGTTTTTTTCAGATGATGATGTATTCAGCTAGCATGTACTGCTTTAGACAATGTGTTGACAGTAGATGGCAAAGCGGTCAGAAGCAGGGTCTTTGTGCGTGCTGCTTGCTGAGGCATTCTGGGACAAACATACATAATATTCCTTTTATGGTACTCAGAAGTGTTCTGTCCCACTGATAAGTGAATCCTATTCCCTTTTAGTTTTCCCTAGAAATACGTGCCGTTGCTTATCACTGGTTTTACTGTGAACAGTGGACTGACCTAATTTTTTTTTCTAGGGTCAGACTATGGTTGAGTCAAATACTTCAGCAGAGTTTTGGTAATTGAACAAATGGGTGCTCTTAGCCCACCCAGAAGAAGATAAAGCTGAATGTCTTAGCTTGTCTTTCACATCGTGCTTTTGATAAGCTAAGAATGCAGTTGAGGAGCATTGTGTTTGGTTTGTACTGCAGTCTGGTTATTTCTGGTGTCACATACTTTGTATGCGTTGCAGAAGGTGGGACTCTGGTTTGGGACTTAAGACACTAGTACATACATTATCTGTGTGTGTAGAGCTGATTAAAGCTAGGTCTCATAAAGAACACAAGTGGAATGTGATGATAATAATACCACATAATAGTGATAAAAATAACCTGCCATCCCCCTTGATCTGTCAGCTAATTCTGGAGGTATGTAATGCTAAGGCTCATCAAGGAAGATTAATCTACTGGTTGAGAACTAGCATAGGACTTGATAGAACTGAATCCATCTGGACTGGTGCATACCCATCACGGGACTAAGCATACTTTCCTGTGGCACTGCTACCTTGTTTACACATCACCTGTATGTGACAATGTTATTCCTTAAATGTTTGCTTCAGCCAAAAACTACATTTAGCAGATGCTCAAGATATTCCGAATAGTGCCACGGGCTGAAAGAACAGCTTTGTCAATTTGGATTCTGCCAGCTTTTCTTTTGTTTTTCCCGACAGTGGAATCTGGAACCGTTGTTGGTTTTGGTTTGGTTTTTCTTTTTAATTTTACAAAATGAAGAATCAGAGTGCAAATCCAGGTGTTTTTCTGCACATTCCTCTCCGAGCACTTCATTATGTCAGGACTCAGTATCCAGAGTTTTAAGTAGGTTGTTGTGACGCTATGCTTTTTACTATTGCCTTATTTAAGTGAAAAATTGGGGAAATGTGGAAGTGCATTTCTTCTGCTCAGTGCTGTTCATATGGTTGAAAATTATGTATGTATATAAGTTCATTAGAATTCCTCCAATTTTTATGAAGGTAGCGATGATGTTGGCTTTTGATCAGCATGTAGACAATCTGCACGCTACATCTTTAGTGTTTTGTTGATCAATGATGCCACAGATTAATTTATTGTTAATAAAGTAAACCATATATAAAATGTTTTATTTAGAGAAGCTGCTGTCTCTGCAGCTCTATTAGGGTAAGAGTTCCTGCAGAGTTTACTTTCTTTCATTACTGTGAATAACTATAAAATGTCACTGAATTAGAACTAGCATGCATGCTAGCAGTCCACATAATTTGAAGTATTGTGAAATTCCAAAATTGGGTCAAGTTACTGTTCAATAAATCCAGTAGATGCAATTTTATACTCATTCCTATGTTACAAATAGTCTGGTGTTAACTGGTATAATCTTTGTGTTCACAGGCAGAGGGGAAAAAATAATCTGTATTGGTATAAAATCAGGCTGGCTTTAGATCCAAGATTTCTGTCCCGGTCCATTGTACTATGCCTTTGGTTCTAGATTTGTTATGTTCAGATTTTAGGTAATACATTCAGATTCTGTATTGCATATACTTGCTGCACAAGGAGTGAAGTCTCTGTCCTTCTACTTGAGAGCAAAGTTTTCATCAGCCCAGAGTGGGTGTGTGGCCAGGGAGCAGAAGATGCCTGTTTGGTGTCTTTGGAGAAGATGCTGCTTTGGCCTCAAGACGTAGCTGTGGATTCCATTAGCTCCAGCTCCTTTCGGAATCACATGCAGGGCCAAGTCTGCGTGCTGCAGCTGGGGACAGAGGGATTGCTGAAACACCACAGGGTGCTCTGGCTACAAGTTGAGCTTCAACCACCCTTATTCCATGCCTCACCTATCAGGCACATAACTATGATGAATGAAGCAGTAGGGATCCCACTTGGGCTTTTCCTTTAGGAAGTTCTTGTTCTTTACGTGAGTTGTCTCATTCATTCCTGAGGTTCTCCAAGAGTTTTGCATGCTGCTTGGTGCATACCTGTGATGGTGTGAAATCCAGTCAGCTTAGGAGAATTAGAACACAACATGCTCCTCACAAAACGAAGTCCAGGTTTTTTTTTTTCCCCCCCACTCTTAACCAATACTCGGGCAATTATCCCTTTCTGCACAGTAACTTTTCCCTGTTGGCACTGTGGACTTGTTTCTGTGCAGGCTTCTGACCATCCAGCATGAGAGCAGTGTGATTCAACCCCATGCCTTGAGGTGTGGTGCTGATTATGGTGGCAAAAGTCAATAGCAGAGCTGCATTTACACAAGTAAGAATGACATTGTAGCAGCTCATTTGGATTTGGGAGCAGAGCTCTCCCCTCACCAGCAACTTGCCACAGTGCAGTATATTGCAGAACTGTAATGCATACTGGTCCCAAAACACTCTTAACCAGTAGTTCTCATCATTTAAGCTATTCTACAATAAAGAGAATTCTTCTTCCTTTTGGGTCTCTCATCTAACTCTGCTTAGGCTTATGACTTCAAACACATTTCCAGTAACTGATGTGTTGTCTGTTGGATGCCTTGATCTCTAAATTTCTGTAGCAATTCATGCAAGTACATCTTGCATAGATATAATTTGAGATAGGGACATAAATACCTTTCTCAAGCAGCTGTTTAGAGTTATACAAGAAATCACACCTTTTTCTTCAATGAACTTAAGCCCACAGGCAATCGCAACTTGGGAAGAATGCATTAATTGCAAATAATTACAGAATTAAAATTATCTTATCTCTTCCTGGATACATGTTTGCATCTTTTACACAGCCTGTTAATGATGATGCTTGTTATCTTTTGGCTTCATACAAGAAAATTTTGTAGCAAGGTCTTTGAGAGACTGAGCTGCTCTGAGGGTGGTAAATAAGCTAATCGCATTCCTAGGTCTGGCAGGAAAAGAAAAAATCAACTAACATTTGTGGACAGTCTTTTGTAATTATAAAAGTACATAAGCAGCTGCATGAAATGAGGTCCTTTTCTGTTATCTTGTTTCCTGAAGAGTTGTTTATGGAGATGGAAGTGTATTAACAGTGAATGTTTCCTGGCCTAAAGTCACACTGATAAATGGATACAGTGTTTGAAACCAACGTTCTTTCCTGCATCACCGATCTAGATTACCTCACTCCAAGAGACATTGCAGAACCTCAGTGAACCAAAAAAGAAAATAAAAATCAAAGAAAAGCTGATAGGAAAGGAGGCGTCTTAGAGGATTTGGAAGAGAACTGGCCAGCAGGTCAAGGGAGGTGATTCTGCTCCTCTACTCCACTCTGGTGAGACCCCACCTAGAGCCCTGCATCCAGCTCTGGAGCCCTCAGCGCAAGAAGGACATGGAACTGTTGGAGCGGGTCCAGAGAAGGTACACAAAAATGATCCGAGGGCTGGAGCACCTCTCCTATGAGGACAGGCTGAGAGAGTTGGGCTTGTTCAGCCTGGAGAAAAGAAGGCTGCAGGGAGACCTGACTGCAGCCTTTCAGTACTTAAAGGGGGCTTGTAAGAAACATGGGGACAGACTTTTTAGCAGGGCCAGTTGTGACAGGACACAAGGGGTAATGGTTTTAAACTAAACCAGGGTAGGTTTAGACTAGATATAAGGAAGAAGTTCTTTACAATGAGGGTGGTGAAACACTGGAACAGGTTGCCCAGAGAGGTGGTGGAGGCCCCATCCCTGGAAACATTCAAGACCAGGTTGGACGGGGCTCTGAGCAACCTGATCCAGTTAAAGGTGTCCCTGCCCACTGCGGGGGGGTTGGACTAGATGGCCTCTAGGGGTCCCTTCCAACCCAAAGCGTTCTTTGAGATGAGAGTCAGTGGTATTAGCCACCTCTTTCTTTGAAAACAGTAAGACAAATTATCTAATGGCTGATGTTAGATCTAAATTTTGAATCTTAAAAAGTTAACCTTGTAACAGATCATTTTCTCCCCTCCTATTTAGAAATACCAGGATTAGAACGAGACCTCCAATACATAGGTCTTTAATAGCATTAAACCAACAAAAATCAGAACACAAAACAACCGAGAACAAACTAAGTTCTCCCACAAACTGGAAGACTGGGACCAGAGTGAATGAAAGAAAAATAGAGTAGTTTGCAAATAATCTGACCACCCCCATCAGTGCAATATTGCAGCACTAAACTGAAGGCCAAAATACTGAACAAGTTTATTAAAATGACAGATGTATACAAACACTCACGCAGCCATGCTCAGCTGTGCCTTGACATTCTCATTGGTGTAAAGGAGCAGACACATCAATTTGTCAGGGCCTACTGACCTGGCTGTCGTAGTGCACAGCAGCCTCTGTTGTACAACTAGAGCACTGCAAATGCACAAGGAGCAAAGGCGTAAGGGCAAAGTCCAAAAAAAAGGAAAGCCTGATTAAATTGGGATCATGACCTTCTGTAAATTTAGTTCAAACAGTAAGAAATGTGAGTATTTACTGTGGAGTTCAATGGCACGTTAGAGCCTTATAAACCACACGCGACCCAGCGAGGCTTCACAACTACATCACATTCTTTGTATTTTGTATCGGATATTGATTGCTAATGCCTGTTCAGTATCCCCAATCCCAATTGATCCTGGTTATGTGTCACTTCAGAGTATTTCACCTTCAACACTGTATTTACAGGGCTGCTGAAGCATCAGCAGGTGATGCTTCGCATTTTTCATACGCTTCCACTCCAAAGGTGTTATTTGTACTTTTAGTTCTATTCCTTACAGGAATTTCAAAATGCCGCCCCACTCTCCTCACCTTCCCAAAGCAGACAGGGAATTGAGTACGTCTCGTTTTTTTATTTCTTCAAACACAGGTTCATGGGTTTTGCACAGATTACGCTTTCATCTTCCACATTAAAAAAATAAAGGAAATGACACATTTTCCCACAAGAGGCAATAAACCCAACGCCTGCCCTCAGACAGGAGCAGATGTGGGAACGCTTTGCCCACATGAAGTCTCAAGCTTTTTGTGAGAAATCAAACCTCCTGTTCTCGCGTGGGCCATTTCCCCAGCGATTCCCTTGTGCGAATGCCGACTGCTGTAGGCCTGGCAGGGCCCCCGAGGGTAACTTTTTTCCATCAAGGAGCTGCTCGGAGCTCACCTATCACAGGGCAGCTGGGCAGACAGCTCGCTTCTTAGAAGGGAAGAATCTGGCCTAGGCTACCCCAAACGACATGAGGATGCACGCAGGCTTACAGTGCGTTGGAGCCGTTTCTTCTAAATGCACTCGCATTTCACCACTGCTGATGCAATCGAGTCTGGCACTCCACGTCAAATGTCACGCACGCGAATCCGTTCTGCAAACGCTGAGTTCCGGCTGTTCGGGATTACTAACGCAGAACATGTCTTAGCCAGCAATATGGGAAATCCATTCCCTTTTAGTTACAAATAATTAAATTCACTGTCAGTGATCCATGCCTTGCGCAACCTTACTGTCGTCATCACCAACCATGGGCTTTATTTATCACGGGCCTCTTCGCTCAGTATAAAAAGACAGAATATTTAATATGGATGAGTAGATACCAAATCCTCGACTGGCTGCCCAGAAGTACCGGCTACCAACCCGCGTGCAGCACAGAACATTCAGTAGCGGGAACAAGATGTCAGAGCAGGCCCCGTGAGACAAAACCACACGGCGAGTGGAGAGAAGGTATTTTTCCTAGACCTGCGTCAATAAAGCGGGAGCAATCCACACGCAGCTCCGGGCTTCAGCTGGCTCACAGCCCAGCACGGCGACAAGGGCTACCGATCACTGCCGTGAACACGGGTGAGCTGCAGGTCAGCCAGCACGTTTTGACTTGTTGGTGCCAAACCTAGAAAGACTTCCTGCAAATTGCAGGTTTGCTTCTTTGCTCTTGAGAAATGTGCTGCTATGCTACGCTGTGTTATGGGATTTCTTTACAGTCGTTACAGGCTTGCAGGAAAAAAAAAGCCCTCCCCCAAATCACATCCTTTCAGCATTGCTTTTGAAGAGACAGAGGGTGTGTCTGTGTTAACCTGGCAGCAGCGAAACTGGTTGTATGCTATCACTCTTTAAAAAACAATGCTCTCGAGATAATTTCAACACAAAATAGAAAGCAACTTTCAGAACGCAGTAATCAATAAGGGTGACAGGGTATGCTGCACATAAGAAACAGCATCGCACCCGCAAATATCTGCGCTCACGTGATTCGGCTTCTGGTGCACAAACAGCCTGATGGAGGAGCTCAGCTTCTCTCTTCAACCTCAGTAACTCGCTGACACGTCTTTGCCATCTGATGCAGCAGTGACTGCTGTCTTCCCCGCCAGAAGTACTTGCAGCAGACGCGCTGTAAAAGGCAACGTCTTTAATTTACTGGAAACCATGAGGGTTTTATCCTAAGAATGTGACTGAAATTAGAAGCTGGCAGGAGACTTGGTTTCCAAGGCAAGGCGATGTCTGGAAGTACCAGACTTCTAAGTTCCAGACTGGCCCCAAACAGTTCTCAGCAGCTCATGGAACGACCTCAGCAGATCTAATTTAAGCCTCCAGCTGTGGGTTCAGACAGGCAGACAAACGAAAACCAGCCATCCTCTCAGAGCAGCCTAGCACTCCAGAGATTGCTAGTCCAAAACAGAAAACTTGATAGCCATTTCTTAATTTCTGCCACATACATTGAAAGTTGTAGCCCCTGGGGCTAAATCTGCCTCAGGAGAAGATAAAAGCATGCCAAGTGTGGATTTACAAGGAAAATTACCACCAGTAATTTGTACTTTACAAACATCAAAAGCACGTTTTCAAACTCCCTGCTCCCCATAATGACAGCAGCGCTGGAAAAGGCCTCCTCTACCATCAGGCCCACTCAGACATGGTATAAAAATAAACAGAGCGGCTGGGCTGAACTGCCTAAGTTTATAAATCTGCAATCCCATAGCAGCGCTGGAAAAGGCCTCCTCTACCATCAGGTCCACTCAGACATGGTGTAAAAATAAACAAGAGTGGCTGGGCTGAACTGCTTAAGTTTATAAATCTGCAATCCCACGTTATTCGGTAATGAAGTTGTTTGTTCTGCCAGAAAAGTTGGGCCTTTGAGAGCAAATGAACGTGTTACGACAGAACACACCACTACTTCGGGGAATGTGTTTAGCCAAAGAACTGCTGGTGAGCTGGATCGGGAGTAGAAGAACCACCCAAAAGTTCTCTTTGGGGAGGCCCTTCAGAAACATTCTCAAGCCTCCAAAATTGCACGTGCTGGAAAAAAAACCCAGCCTGGCAGGGCTGTAACCTTGCGTGTTAGGGCGCTACTGACTCTTCACTCCTTCTCCCTAATGGAAAAGTCTAACAAACAGCAGCAGGGTGCAACAGCAGAAGATCCACCCAAGAGTGCTGAAGGAGCTGGCAGAGGAGGTTAAAAAGCCACTCTCTATCATCTATCAGCAGTCCTGGTTAACAGGGGAGGTCCCAGATGACTGGAGATTGGCAAACGTGACACCTATCTTCAAGAAGGGCCGGAAGGAGGATCCGGGGAACTACAGACCAGTCAGCCTGACCTCAGTACCAGGGAAGGTTATGGAGAGGTTCATCTTGAGTGTGCTCACCAGGCACATGGAGGACAATCAGAGGATCAGGCCCAGTCAGCATGGGTTCATGAAGGGAAGGTCTTGCCTAACCAACCTGATTTCCTTCTACGACCAGGTGACCCGCATGGTAGATGAGGGAAAGTGTCACTGAGCCCCAGAGGAGAATGGGGGTACCCATGTAGCAAAGGCCCCTCCTGAGAGCTGGGGTGTTTGGCCAGAGTGGGAAATGGCCAGTGTGTGGGACTGGTCTGGGACAATTTTACTGGGCATTTTACATGGCAGAGAATGGGCCCCTTTCTATTGCACTTTTAGTGTCTTGTTTCCTTCGCCATGATGCCTGGCTGTGCACCACGAAAACACTTCTGAGTGCCCCCACTCTGCGTGCACACACAGACAATTTATCTCTATGCTGGTGTTTTCCTCTCTTGGGTACATACCTCCCAAAACATTGAGAACACAAG